ATGGCACATAACAACATCAACAATCACTACGGAAGTAGATTGCCCAACCTTCCTTCGGAGGAGTGGCTGGAGGGTTTGAACCGACAGCCTCCTGGTTAGCAGTCAAGTGCCTTAGGCAGTATGCTACCAGAGCTCCCAAATAAAATCCCTATACTCCAGGCAAAAAAAAAAATTGTACATATTTAAAAAGATTTTCTTTAAGGAGTGCCCCTTAGCTTTTAACTTTTTGAGAACATGAAAATTGGCTAAGTGGGAAAAACGTAGAGGAGGAGCCCAAGAATAAGGGCGGGGAGAAAGTACAGTCGCCCAAAGGGGCGTGTGAAGGGGCGGAGGAAGCAAGCCTAGGTGCGCGGCATATCTGGGGTATCGCGAGAGTTGGGCGGGCCGAAGATTCGTACAGTCAATTCTCCCACCCTCCCGGGAGGAGCCGCGGTCCCTTGGCTCTCCAAATTCTGAGCTCTCATCATGGCGGCGGCGGCGGCGGCCGCGGCGGCTCTCGGGGGTTCGCAGCCGCCCCAGCCCGAGATGCCGGCGTCGGCGCTAGCCCTGGACAAGGCGGCCACCGCCGCGCACCTCAAGGCGGCCCTCAGCCGGCCGGACAACCGGGCGGGCGCTGAGGAGCTGCAGGCACTGCTGGAGCGTGTGCTGAACGCCGAGCGGCCGCTGGCCGCGGCGGCGGGAGGCGAGGAGGCGGCGGCGGGTGGCGGGGGCGGTCCGGGGGCGGCCGAGGAGGAGGCCCTGGAGTGGTGTAAGTGCCTTCTGGCGGGCGGCGGCGGCTACGAGGAATTCTGCGCGGCGGTGCGGGCCTACGACCCCGCGGCGCTCTGCGGCCTGGTCTGGACAGCCAACTTTGTGGCCTACCGCTGCCGGACGTGCGGCATCTCCCCCTGCATGTCGCTGTGCGCCGAGTGCTTCCACCAGGGCGACCACACCGGGCACGATTTCAACATGTTCCGCAGCCAGGCCGGGGGCGCTTGTGACTGCGGTGACAGCAACGTGATGCGGGAGAGTGGGTGAGTGGAGTCCTGCCCCCAATTAAAACAACCTCAAAGCTAGGGGTACCGGAGGTGGTTCTGACTGGGGTCTCGGGAGGCCTGTCAGAGACTGAGAGCCGACCGTGAGCTGTCAAGGGAAGGAGGTGGGGGAGGGTGCAGCCACATGGGGATGGAGGTGACTGAGCTGTCAGTCGCGGAAAGGGGGTGGGGAGTAGGGGAGAGCGGAGAGTATGTTAGGGGACCGTGCTGTAAATTTTGGGGGCAGAGTCTGGGAGGGTGAGCAATAGCTAGAAAAGAGCTTGCGTGTAGGGTAGAAGAGGTGGGAGGAGGAAAGGGTACTTGGGGAATCAGGTGTTCAGCTGTCAATTGTGTACTTACTGTTGGTAAAGCCCGCAAAGCTGTCCGATTCTGGGGAAGAGACAGACTGTGATTTGGATTGGCTGGGATGGGGTAGTATTGGGGAAAGAATTGGGTCTCGGGAGTGATGCGAGGGCCGGGGAGAGGGTATGTCTCTAACTGCACTGGAGGACACTCGGGGTGGGGAAGGGGAAGGACTTCTGAAATTGTCAGTGTGTCTGTCAGTACAGAGGAAAGGAGCTCTTGAGCTGGTGGGAGTTGAGGGAGGAGGGAAGGGGAGGGGCCTGCATGAAAAGTGACTTGAGCTGCCAGTGCAGTCTTTGGTGTGCTGGAATGACATCTAGAATTGGGCTACTGGGCAGTGAGTTATAGAATACCCTCCATACCAGGTGAACAAGCAAAACAGATTTAACTATCAACTGTTAGATCTTCTCCAGTTAAGGGCACTTTGTTCACTGACGAATACGTGAACATCTGTCTAAAAGGAAAGACTCAACAAACGGGTTTTGACAGGAGTGATGTACTAGGATGTTAGGACTTAGGACAGAAGACAGCATTCTGAAGTTGCAGTGAGTTAAAGAGTTGGTACATGTAGGGTCTTGGCTTGAGACAAGATGCCAATGTCAGGGGGAAGTCCTGGGGAAAAAAAAAGCAAAAAGCTTAGTGAAAGGAGATTTTGGTTGGGCAGTAGTTGAAAGAATGTTAGCAAATCCAATTATTCCAGTTTTCCAATTTATGGTTGGGTACAATCCCTTTAAGGAGCTCTGGTGGTGCAGTGGTTTAAGTGCTCATCTGTTAATTGTAAGGTGAGAGGTTGGAGCCCACCAACTGTTTCATGGGATAGAGATGTGACAGTCTGCTTTTGTAAAGATGGCAGCCTTGGAAACTCTTAATGGGACAGTTACTCTGTCCTAGAGGATCCCTACGAGTCAGAGTCAAGAGTGTGCAAGCCAGCCTCCTTGAATATTAAGTGAAGATGACATGGACCTAACCCTTATGTTGCTTACACTAAAGTAAAATCAAAATCAAACAATTCCTTAAGTAGTAGTCTGGGAGTTAGAGGAGGGAGAGGTGGCTTGTGCATAGAGTGAGTATTCAGAAAGGGGGTGCTTTAAACTTGCTAATAATAATAAATAACAGTAATTGTAGCTAACATGTGCGAGCTTGAAGTATTTGCAACACTCTTTGAAAATATTTTTAAGATTTAATATATAAATAAGGAAAATATTCATATAACCAAAACCCACTAGCTTTGGAGTCAATTTCTACTCATAGAGACCCTGTAAGACAGAGTAGAACTAACTGCTTCATAGGGTTTCCAAGGCTGTAAATCTCTAGTAGAAAGTAGATTGCCACATCTTTGTCCTGCATAATATTCATATATTTAAGCAGTAAATATAATAAAAATATACAAAGTTTGAAGATTCTCTTTCATCATGTCTCCTAATTACCCACTAATATTTGTTTCTTAGTGCAATTATAAGCAAGGATGAATATGTATTCTAACTTCTCAATATATTTTTTATACAAAAGGTAACATACTATATACACTTTTCTACATTCACTTATCTTAATGATCTTTCTATATCAGTAAAAAATTATAGCTTATATGTGTCTGTAGTTGCCATATCCACATTCATGAAAGATAAGATTGAATAATAAACAATATTGTGGCCATCTGATTATTCTGACATTTTTGCAATTCTGTGGGTCAGATAGAATAATTCTTCCAGGCCATATTTCTCATCTACTGCCTAAAGAGACATATATGATATTGGTGAACCTTGCAGGTTAGAATGCTGCCTCTGGAACCTTTCAGAACTGGAAATCAGCAAATTACAGCAGTGCTCCTGGTGGCCAAAGCTGGATCACCAAAGTTTGAAAATGTGTTGATTTTACCGTTGTTTGTTATTCTACTTGCCCTAGTAGTTTATAAATCTCATTGTTCAGTAAATTCTTAAAGGAGGATTCCATTTTTGTCTCCATCTGCATTCCTAATAAAAGATAAGAAATCCTGCTGTGCCTTAGTAGCTTTTCTAAGTATCTCCTGGGAGTAGAACGTGTTTCATTCGAGAAGTTATGATTGAAGATAGGGAGGAATATTGAATCCATCACTACTTATATTAGTATTTAATTTTCAAATTTGTAATCATAGAAACATCAGGAAGATTTAGTTATTTTTCTCAAGTTAGAGGGACAGTGATTGATTTATTTCATTATAGTCGATTAAAAATATTTTATTAACTTTTTTCCTTTACATTTTATTTATTTTGTTTTTGAGAATATATACAACAAAACATGCACCAATTCAACAATTTCTACATGTACAGTTTAGTGATACTACATTCTTTTCAGGTGTGCAATCATTCTGACCCTCCTTTTCTGAGTTGTTTCTCCCTCATTAACATCAAACCCCCTAAGGTTCCTGTGTATACTTTTTAGTTTCTATTGTCAGTCTGATCCCATATAGATAGTTCTTAAAAGAGCATACTGTTCAAGGCAGACCTTTTTTTACTAGTTAAGCTAAACTGTTGCCTAGTTTTAAGAAAAATTCAGAAGATCTTTTTCGTTTAAGTTTAAAAGATTATCTCAGGGCAGTAGTTTCAGGGAGCCCTCGATGGCTCCAGAAAGACTAGAGTCCATGAGAATTTGAAATTCTGTTCTGTGTTTTCCCCCTTTTGATCAGATTCTATGGAATCTTTGATCAAAATGTTCAGTAATAGTAGCCAGGCACCATCCAGTTCTTCTGTTCTCATGACAAAGGAGGCAGTTGGTCATGAAGACAGTTAGCCACACGTTCCATATCCTCCTCCTATTCCTGACTCTCTTTCCTCTTTTGTTCTAATTGAATAGAGACCAATTGTTGTGCCTTGGATGGCTGCTTGCAAGCTTTTAAGACTCCAGGCACTAAGCAGCAAACTAGGAGGTAGAATAGAAACACTAAATATTAATATGTTATTAGACCAGTTATCTGCGATATCCCATGAACCATGACAAGGAACCAAATCCTGTGAGGTATTTGGTTATACATAAGCAGCCCCAGCAGCTGCTTTTTTTTGGGTTCCTGGAGGCTTTAGTTATTTTTGATTTAGTGGTATTGATATAGTCAATGTGACAATATTAGAAGATATACAAACCAAAGGAAGAAAAAAATTAGGATTCATTTGTGGGATGAGATCAAAAAGGGCCTGAGGGTTGTTGTCTGATCTCTTCAAACTTCACAAGGGGGGAAAAGGATCAAGATCAGCATTATAACCTCTGCCTATAAGGCAGAGGTTAGGCATGCCAGCACCCTTAAACCTTTTTACTAATTCTGACACAACTGTCCATCCCATGGCACTCTTTACTTCTCTTTGAGGTTCAATAATTCATTGCAGTGGCCACACAGAACTCACATACTTATGATTATAGAGTCTATTAGAGAAGTTACAGGTTACAATTCAGGATCAGGAACATCTTAGGACATAATACTTTGATCAAGATAGCCTCTTCTCAGCAGTGACTCTCTCTAGCCCTTGGCTTCTCCTCCTCTTGGCTCCTTGGCCTCCATCCTGCTCAGGCAAGTGTTACAAAGCTCCTTTAGCTCTGCCGGCAGGTACCTAGAAGCATCCCACTCCACCAGTGAGCCTTGGCCTGCAGGCATGTGGCTTTCTTGGTTCATGTGTGTGGAAGCCCACTGCCCTGGCTCTTGCTGGGTCTGCTGCTGCTTCTGCTGCTTTACCCTGTCTCTTGCTGTCTCAATAAAGTGTTACAGTTCTCTCTCTTGTCTCCTAGGTTGAGGAGCTGCAATGCAAGGGCCTTGGGTCTAAAGGATGCACTCTACTCCTGGCTCTTGTTTCTTTTTCTTTTTTATATGACTTTTAATATTCTTATTGGAAACTGACATTCATTCTTATATTAACTGTTTTCTTTTTTCAATTGTGATTTGGGTGGAAGTTTACAGAGCAAATTCACTTTCCATACAGCAGTTCACACACATGTTGTCTTATGACATTGACTACAATTCACCCCAATGCAACAGCTCCCCTCCCACTTCCTCCCTATAGTTACCTCTTCCCTGTGTCCATCCCCCCATGCACTCCTGCCCCTTGAACTGTCTCTCTGTGCATAAACAGCCCTTCCCTCTTCCATGATTGTTCTCTCTAAGGAGTGTCCACCTCAGGTACATTTTCAACTCTTATGTTTGTCTTTTGTTTGGCTGGAAGCCACAGGTGTGGGTTTAATTCCAGACCTGAAGGGCAGCTAGGGGCCATAGTCTCAGTGGTTCCACCAGGCTCTGTCAGTGGCTCTTTGTTTCTTGATGGTAGTGAGATCCCCTTTTTTGCCTCTGTTGTTGTTATGTGCCATTGAGTCAGATCCGACTCATAGCGACCCCTCCTTGGGTTTCCGAGGCAGTATCACTACAGAAGTAGATTACCCCATCTTCCTTCCGAGACGTGGCTCTAGAATGGCTTTTTTTTTTTTAAATTAGGATTTGGGTGAAGATTTACAGAGTAAATTCACTTTTCATACAGCAGTTCACATAT